TGAGCAGGCAGACTTCAGAAAAACCTGGAAATACTTGTATGGACTGATGCTGAGCAAAGTGAGTAGAACCAGGAGAATGTTATATACAGTAACAGCCACGTTGGGCAATGACTAACTTTAATAGACTTAGCCCTTCTCAGCAATGCAAGGATCTAAGACATCTCCAAAAGTCTCATGATGGAAAGTGCTATCCACATCCAAAGGAAGAACTATGGAGTTTGAATGCAGATCGAAGCATACTATTAGCTCTTCTTTTTTCTTCTGTTTTGTTTCGTTTCCTCTTTCGTGTGGTTCCTCCTATTGGTTCTAATTCTTACTTACAACATCAGTAATGTGAAAATATGTTTAATAGGAATGTATATGGATAGCCTATATCAGACTGTGTGCTGTCTTGGGGAGGGAGGTAGGAAAGGAAGGGAAGAAAAATTTAAAACTCAAAAGGTTATGGAAGTGATTGTTGATAACAAGAAAGAAAGAAAGAAAAGAAGGAAGGAAGAAAGAAAGATATATCTATATATATATATATATATATATATATACACACACCTGACAAGTCAGCATCCAGTTTCTGTTCGAATTCTTTGAAGAAAGGGCAGCCCCACAACCAGCCATGGCAGCCCATTTTACTTTTAGATAATATTTAATTGTTAGGAAGTTTTTCCTGACACCATGCCTAAATTTGTCTCTCTAACTTCCTTCTGGTTCAGGTCTCTGGAGCCAAACAAAACAAATGTGATCCTTGAACACAGCTATCATGTCCTTTTCTCCTCTCCTGCCCTCTAAATCTTCTCTTCTTCTCCAGATGAAACATATCCATTTCCTTCAGCCAATTTTCATATGACATGGCCTCAAGGTCTTTCACCTTGTTCCCACTTAACAACTGTCTCCTTAAACTGCCCAGATAGAACACAAAATGCTTTGTAATCTGGCTTCTCTCCTTACATCCAGCAAATATATATCCTCTCAAAGGTCAAAGAGATGACTAAGTAGTCACCAAACCCTCTTCTGTTCATTCATGTTCCTTGACCTCTCTATTGATTCTGACAGTACTGACCGCACCCTTCGATTGGCTTCTGTGACGCCATATTATCCTGGTTCTTCTACCTCTGTAACCTCTCCTTTTCTTTCCCACTGGATGGTTTTTCTTCCACTTCTGACACCTGAAATGTAGGTCTCCTCCAAGTTTCTACCCTCAACCTTCTTCCCTTCCTATATGTTTTCCCTAGGAGCCCTCTGCTCTCACAGCTTCTACTACGCCCTCTATGGTATTGAGCCCCAAATGTACAGCTCTAGATCTTCTGAGATTCAGCATCCTGCAGATTAGTTTTTTATTTTTATTTTTTTGGAGGCAATTGGGGTTAAGTGACTTGCTCAGGATCACACAACTACTAATTGTCTGAGGCCTCTCCTGACTCCAGCTGCCCCTAGATTATTTTTTTCAAACAGTAGATTACTATAGTCATTGACTAGTGTCCTGTGTACCCAACCTATTCCACTGATCCATCATTCTATTTCTTAGCCAGTACTAAGTAGTTTTGATAATTTCTGTTTTATAATACAGTTTTAGATCTGGTACGGCTAGGCCACCTTCCCTTGAATTTCTTTTCATTAATTCCCTTCATATTCTAGACCTTTTGTTCTTCCAGATGAATTTCGTTATTATTTTTTCTAGCTCTATAAAATAATTTCTGGTAGTTTGATTGGTATGACACTGAATAAGTAAATTAATTTAGGTAGAACTGTCATTTTTATTATATTAGCTCAGCCTATCCATGAGCAACTGATATTTTTCCAATTATTTCTTTCTGATGTGTGTGAAAAGTGTTTTGTGATTGTATTCCTAGTGTTCCTGGGTTTGCCTTGGCAGGATAGACTCCCAAATATTTTATATTGTCTACAGTCACTTAAATGGAATTTCTCTTTCTATCTCTTGATGCTGGGCTTTGTTAGTAATATACAGAAATGCCGATGATTTATGTGGGTTTATTTTGTATACTGAAACTTTGCTAAAGTTGTTAATTATTTCAGGTAGCTTTTTAGTTTATTTCTCTAGGATTCTCTAAGTATACCATCATATCATCTGCAAATAGTGATAGTTTTGTTTCTTCATTGCCTATTCTAATTCCTTCAATTTCTTTTTCTCTTATAGATAAAGCTAACATTTCGAGTACAATATTGAATAACAATGGTGATAATGGACATCCTCATTTCACCCCTGACCTTACTGGAAATGATTCTAGCTTATCCCATTACATATGATGCCTATTGATGGTTTTAGATAGAAGCTATTAACTTTTTAAAGAAAACTCCATTGATTCCTACGCTCTCTGGTGGTTTTATTTTTTTGTTGTTGTTGTTTTTTTAAGGCAATTGGGGTTAAGCAACTTGCCCAGGGTCACACAGCTAGTAAGTGTCAAGTGTTCGGTCTTAGGCAGGATTTGAACTCAGGTCCTCCTTACTGCAGGGCCAGTGCTCTATCCATTGAGCCACCTAGTTGCCCCTCTGGTGTTTTTAATAGGAATGGATGTTGTATTTTGTCAAAAGTTTTTTCTGCATCGATTGAGATAATCGTATGATTTCTGTTAATTTTGTTATTGATATGGTCAATTATGCTGATAGTTCTCCTAATATTGAACCAGCCCTGCATTTCTGGTATAAATCCCACCTGATCATAGCGTATTATCCTTGTGATAAGTTGCTGTAATCTCTTCACTAGTATTTTATTTAAACTTTTTGTATCTATATTCATTAGAGAAATTGGTCTATAATTTTCTTTCTCTGTTTTGGCTCTTCCTGGTTTAGGTATTAGCATCATATTTGTATCATAAAAAGAATTTGGTAGGACTCCTTCTTTGTCTATTTTTTTCAAATAGTTTATATAGGATTGGAATTAATTGTTCTTTAAATGTTTAGTAGAATTCATTTGTGAATCCATCTGGCCCTGGAGATTTTTTCATAGCGAGTTCATTAATGGCTTGTTCAATTTCTTTTTCTGAATAAGGGTTAATTTTATTTCCTCTTCTGTTAATCTGGGCAATTTATATTTTTTAAGTATTTATCCATTCCACTTAGATTGTCAGATTTATTGGCATACAGCTGGGTAAAATAGCTCCTAATTATTATTTTAATTTCCTTTTCATTAGTGTTGAATTTACCCTTTTTATTTTTGATACTGATAATTGGTTTTCTTCTTTCTTTTTTTAAATCAATTTAAACAAAGGTTTATCTATTTTATTGTTTTTTTTCCCCATAAAACCAGCTCTTAGTTTTATTTATTACTCTAATAGTTTTCTTAATTTCAACTTTATTAATCTATCCTTTGATTTTCAGAATTTCTAATTTGGTATTTTAATTGGAGATTTTTAATTTGTTCTTTTTCTAGCTTTTTAAGTTGCATGCCCAACTCATTGGCCTCTTCTTTCTCCATTTTACTCATGTAAGCATTTAGAGATACAAAATTTCCCCTAAGAACCACTTTGGCTGTATCCCATAAGTTTTGGTATGTTGCTCATTATTGTCATTCTCTTGGATGAAGCTATTGATTGTTTCTATGATTTGTTGTTTGACCCACTCATTCTTTAGAATTAGACTTTTTAGTTTCCAATTAATTTTTAGTCCATCTTTCCATGGCCCTTTATTACATGTAATTTTTATTGCATCATGATCTGAAAAGGATACATTTAATATTTCTGCCTTTCTGCACTGTATTGTGAGGTTTTTATGCCCTAGTACATGATAAATTTTTGTGTAGGTGCCACGTACCACTGAGAAAAAGGTATATTCCTTTCTATCCCCCTTCACTTTTCTCCAGAGGTCTACCATATCTAACTTTTCTAAAATTCTATTCAACTCTTTAACTTCTTCTTTATTTTGTGGTTAGATTTATCTAGTTCTGAGAGGGGGAGTTTCAGGTCCCCCACTAGTATAGTTTTGCTGTCTATTTCTTCCTGTAACTCACTTAACTTCTTCTCTAAGAATGTGGATGCTATACCACTTGGTACATGTATGTTTAGTAGTGATATAACTTCATTGTCTATGAGTACCTTTTAGCAAGATGCAGTTTCCTTCTTTATCTCTTTTAATTAGATCTATTTTTGCTTTTACTTTGTCTGAGATCAGGATTGCTATCCCTGCTTTTTTTATTTCAGCTGATGCATAAATATATTCTGCTCCAGCCTCTGACACATAATATATTCAATTCTAGCCTCAGATTATTTTTTAAAGTAAATTTTTATTGATATCTTTCATTTTTATTTCACCAACATTTCCCAATATCTCTCTCTCCTCCCCTTCCCTTACAGATATCTC